CACTTTTCAAGTTGCCTAAATGGCCAGACTGAGCTTAACAGGCTGCTGTAATGGTCTCCCTTCCACATATTGGACAAAGACAGTTTGAAGCCAGGAAACCTTTGTCCTGAAAGCACTGGCCATACAAACGCTGGTGAGACTAAGTCAGAGCCAGAAGCGCTCTAACTGGCAGTACTGCATGGCTGAGTAGGAGTCAGGCCCCAGCTGCAGAAGCCTCTACCGCAGCATTTGCTGTGCTGGACATGCAACCCAGCCCCAGGAACCTGCCATAGCCACTGGAAGGACTAGCCAGAGCAGTAGCACATACGGGCAGAAAAATGGGACGTTGAATCTCATGTTTCTGGATGGACATCTTCAGATCTCTGTGAAGAAGTCTCCCTACTAAATAGAGGATTTTGACATACCACAGGTATAGGTACAGAATCCTATACCTGGGCACTAGAAACAATTCATACCAGTATTTACTACTCATAAAATCTGCAGCCTGTCATTTAGTCCCACTTCAGTGTCTATGTCATCCTTTCACCTGGGTGTTGGAGTCAACAAGCACAACCTGGAAAATAGTTGTTTGCATAGTGCCTAACAACTACGCTTGGGGCCATGACTAGAGTATTCAGATACTCCCTCCAATCTGATAAATACCAATCTATCAGTATAGTATTGTTCCACAGAGTATATCTGCCAGTTCTTCAGTTAAGTATTCCAAGAAGACTAAGCAGATAGGATTCTGCTGTTTCTCACAAAAAGCTATTCTCAGAATAACATGCCTCACTATTTCTGTTATATTGCCACTTACTGCAGTATTGCTCAATTTAAATTTCTAACCACATAGCCAGCCAATAATATATGTATGTACAAGACATCAACTGTGTATTTTGCATACCTACACTGGATATACTGCAAGACAGCTCTAGGTGATTTTCATGGAAAAAAGTCTTTGTAAAAAGTTGTGTAACACTACTGCATAAGTGCTATCTGAGACAGTCCCAGAACTGCAGAATTACAGTAAGACACCTCTACACTCTGAACTTTACCCAGACTTTAGTTTTAAGCTCCCATAAAAAATTCAAGTGAAGATCTACATCAAACAATTCAATTAAAAATTATACTAGTGACATAGTGACAAGTTTATTAGAGGTCTACATACTGCACCACTAATTTAAATTCTGGCTGACCAAATTTTTACGCCAACATAACTCCATCAGTTAAAGGTGATGTCATTTTTTTAATATGCTTTTAACACTGCTTGCCAAAATAGTATTAACTGCAGGTATAAGGTATCTTTATACCAATAAGTGCACACCAGTACATCTTAGACTCCCTCCTACACCATTCCTAAGACAATACAGCTGCTATAGAAAAGTACTACTTTAAACTGTACAGGTGTAGCTAAAGCTGTACAACTTTTGTATACAGAGAAGGCCTAGAAGTATGACTACAAACATGTTCCCTCGGGTGCATAAGACACTGTAAGGACCCCCCTTATTTAAAGCTAAGGAATGTCTTTTTCTTTTGTTTAGGTGAACAAAAATAGCAAATTTTGTTCCAACCACTGCGGTTTCCCTCTAGAAGAGGGAAGAGAGAAAGTCAGTTGATTTGAGAGTCCACAGCAAATCCTCAGCTATAAGGAAAACAACATTATGGAGAAAATGCAAGATAGATGATAGGTCCTCCTTTACAACACTTATATGAATAGAAGCCTTACCAAAACCACATAATAATCATCCAGAAATTCTCCAACATAATCCCAGTTCAAGAAGGATCAACATATCCGAGTTTCCCGGTGAACTGACAGCACTTAATGGGCCCTGAGTCACCTGAAATCCTGCAAAAAACTCCAAGTAGCCCCTGGTTTCTGGCAGGCCCCTGCACTCTCTCCAGTCACTGCTGCTCACCACCCCACACAGGGCACAGACCAAGCTGCCCACAAAACGCCTCTATTACCGCTGTCCCGTACAAAGGTGCCTGAACCCTTATACAAAGTGCAAGCGAGCACTTCCTCGCCGTGAGGAGGCCTGACAGAGCCCTGTGGACCGAAAGCCTCCGCGGGATCCCGGCGCCCCCCACCTAGGCCCCGGTGCTCGCCCCTGTCCAGGAGCAGCCTCCTGCCTCCCGGCCAGCGGCCCCGGCCCACCGCGCCGCCCTCCCCAGGCCCCACACACCCTCCCCGCCCTGCTTGATAGGAGGGACGTGGAGCCCACGGCCCCAGAACATCATGCCCCG